ATAATAATAATAATAATAATAACAATTTTTTCACTGTGACAGTTTGATTAGCTGGTGTAATTATTTGTTTAGATTTTTTTGCCAACAGGGTAAGTTTGCTATTCTAAGATACTGAGGTGAAATGAGATGAGATGATGAAATTAGATAAATGAGATGAGATAGCTAAGATGAGATAAGATAGATGAGAGGATAAAACGAGGTGATGCGACGAGACAACATCAGATGAGATATTGTGATGAGATAAGATAAATTTTTAGTTATCCCACAGTGGGAACATTCAATTGTCACAGCAGCAAGAAGCAAGACAGAGTACAGAAAAACGGAGTAAAATAAATAAATAAATAAATAAATAAATAAATAAATAAATAAATAAATAATATCTTGCTTCACTGACATGTTCACTCTTTGGATCTCATTTTGACAGCAGCAACAAATGCACTCCACTCTTGAAATGAACTCTAAACGTTTTTATGTATCTGCTCATTGTAAATGGGATAATGAGGGAATAACACACGCCTGACCATCCCATCACTTTTGGTCCCTTAAAATGTGAGAGGTATATTTACAAACTGTTGAAATGTGAACACGGTTTACCTGGTTCAGATGTAAACACCTTCAAATTAAAGCAGAAAATCTGCGGTTAAAGTACATTTTGTTTGTTTCATTTCACATTCATCATGGTGTTTACATCCAAGCAGACAAGACTTGTGTTGATGTCATAGTATTCTGTAATTTCATTGTGCTCTGTACAATGACAATAAAGGCATCATCATCATCCTTTATGGACCTGACTGTATACATTGAATAGTTATTATTAATTAGACTATTGTCCATGAAAAAGAAGAATCGGAGACACTGTGAAGTGTATTTATGTGGGCAGGAATGACCTGTGGCAGCGATGCAGGGATGTAAAATCCTCGTGTGCTCAGAGACTCACAGAGCTCTGCAGGGAGTGGGAGGAATTGGCCATGATGGACAACAGCTTTGCCAGCATCTCTCAGTCCTCCACCTCCTCAATAGATTCAGGTGGGCGGCCAAGGACAGAGCTGACTCTCCTCATCAGTTTAAGCCTCAACCTGTCTCAGTCCCAGCTCCCCCACCTCAGCACATAATGGTGTGGAACACTGCAGAGGTCACCACATAAAGTGAGCAGAGTCCTGAACACACCAAAGACCTCTCCTCTGCAGCTGACTCTGGTCCTTCCTGTACAAAGTGTAGTGTTTTCTGTCGGTTTGTTGAGGTGAACACTCAGGTACTTATTCCCAGGTTCACCAGTGTTCACGGAGAAGGTTTCCTACAAAAATCAACATGCTTCATGGTCTTGCTGGTGTTTTTGTTAATGAAAGTTATATAATAAATACACTTTGTTCCGGTGCAAAATCCAAAATGAACAAGGAAACATTAGGGAATCGTCGTTGAGAGTGTTTACTTATTTACTGACTTATATTTTATTTATTAAACATTTATTATTCACTACCAGCCTTTCAGGAGCCTCATAATAAACTAGATCAACAGTTTTATTGAAAGGGAAACCAGCCAACATACGGCAGTCAGCTGTGTGTAAAGATATTACTTTTTTCACAATAAGCAGACTTTTAAATAATGGCCTTACACTGAATATTAATCACTGAAATGTAACTCATGGCCAAAAAAAGCATAAAAAACTATTATTATGTTTTGTTTAAATATGTTTTTACAGTCTGTTAATGACAAATTGGATGTTTTTTTTTTGAAAAAGTAGTAAAGCTTAGATCTCTGGTATTGTTGGTAAATTAAATATAAATGTTGCTCTTTGATTAAAACCTCAAAGGTAAAGCTGCTTCAGGGTGTTTTGTGAGTGCTCCACCAGCAGAGGGCAGAGCAGAACAAAACATCTGGGAGGATTCCAAACTGCAAATGGGACACAACAATTACAGACAGGTGAGCGTGCAGAGTACCCACTGTCACATGTGTCTAATAAAAAAAAGTTAATTTAGTCTATTGTGCTTGTTTATGTATTTATTTCATTGTGTTGATGTTCTAACCCATTAAGCCTTTTTTGTCTGTTTCACTCTATAAACATAAGTTAACATCCATCCATCCATCCATCCATCCATCCATCCATCCATCCATCCATCCATCCATCCATCCATCCATCCATCCATCCAGCCACACTCTAAAAAACATATGTTGGATTTACTTAACCATGTTATGTCAACTGGTTCCACTTAACTGAATTGAGTAAATTCAAAGCAACATACTCATGTGCTTTGGTTAGAAATTGGGTATATTGCTTTGGATTTACTCAACTCAGTTAAGTGGAACCAGTTGACATAACATGGTTAAGTAAATGCAACATTTCATTTCTTAAAGTGCATCCATCCATCCATCCATCCATCCATCCATCCATCCATCCATCCATCCATCCATCCATCCATCCATCCATCCATCCAATATAAATTTTAAAAATAAACATTTTAAGCCTTTTCTAATTACTAATTCACACTAATTTATAACAAATAAACACAATTTATTATATAAGGACAGTCTCCCAAAAAACAGCTACTGGACAAGAAAACTGAAAAAAAAAGAAGATATGAACAGTTTTTTAATGCCTTTCTTAGAAAGGAACATATTATTCTGTATATTAATTTTCTAGGCTGAACAAATAAGCAAGCATCTCTTTTGAACGGGAACATTTTATCTCCCTGCAGTCCTGCTGTGCACTGAGTCATGTCTCCACTTGTGGATCTGACCCACTAACACAGTGATGCAGAAACCATCTGTCTGCAAGGGTCTGCAGTCTAAGAAAAGAACCATTGAAAAACATTCTTTTTTTCTACGTTTATGTACAGATGGTGTCTCCTTAAAGTGAAAACACGTCTTCCACGAAGCTCCAAAATGAGAGAAATTTGTGCGCATCATAAAGGAGTTTATAAATACAAAATTACACTACATTAGATTTACAATAAACAACAAATTTAGATTAAATACATATTTGTTTTTACCTTTATTTAAACTTTAAACATTTATGTGGTTAATTTTCCTTTCTTTATATTTTAAAAGCTTTTGGTTGCCTATAAGTACTTCAAGAGCACAAACATAAATCTGGTCCTTGTTTAAATTCTAAATGGCTCTCAAGAAAAGAAAAGAGTTTCAATTACTTCTCATAAACAGGTGAATACTGTAGCATAGGAATATATTTTGTAGTTTTTGTTTAAATCTATTTGATGTGTTTTACTCTAAATAGCTTAAAGCATTTTTTAACTATAATCCCAATTCCAATACGTTTAAGGGCAGATGTGCAGTGACTAGGGAAGTTGTCCTTCAATAAGAGAGTCGAAAGTTTTAGCCTGCAGCATGTACTTGTACGTGTCCTCACTGCATCAGTGTATGAATGTGATCTAAAGCACCGATTAGAAAATGATTTATTCAGATTAGTTTTGCAGAGAGCAGAGTTCTCAATGATTGTGTGTGGATGGATAAATAAAGACACAGATTGTAATGTAAAGCACTTTGAATAGACTGGTTGGCAAAAAGCTCTATATAAGTACACATGATCATTTATGTTATTTTCTATCTCAGGGTCAAAACTTCCACACTGTTTGCTGAATTCATTGGTTTACAGCATTTTAACTGTGTATTAGAGCCATCCAACATAAAACCAGTCATAAAACATGTTTTCAGTGTCCTATTGAGTAATTTGTCTAAAATCTGTAAATCTGACTTGATAGATTTTTTTTTCTTGAAAACAGCATCCTTTTCATCCTTTTCATCTTGTTGTAAAATAATAATAATAGTAATAAACAACGTGTGTAACTGTGAATTATAGTGTGTTTCACAGAATCTCTATGCAAAATTCCCTTTTGTTAACGCTGAACGCAGCTGGCCTTGATCTGTTTATGGACAAACATCCATAATGAACATATAAATCATAAATGAACATGTTCATTTATGTCATGATGTCATATTTATTAGCACAGTAATGTACCGAGTAGCTCGGGTACCTCCTGTACTTTGAATCTATCTAATCTCTATTTATGACAGAACAGATAACAGAGTTTCACTGCAATGCAATGAGGCTTATCACCAAACTGATAAGAGCTCTCTGTCATAAATAAATGCAACAAATACGCTCAAGAGGTAAAGGCTTTATGGACTAAAGTACTCACATTGGATCCATGTACTGGTCTCTTTGAATTATTTATTTTATAAAATATCAATGAATCTATAACACTTTTTTTCAGAATGAATCAGAATCTTTGATCCTCCTTGACTATATGAAGGAATTCATTTAAATAACGTTGAACCCTGTACCAATTTCATATAAAATGATGCTTTTCAAAAGTTTCAAACCCTTTGAACTGTATTTTTATTCTGCAAAGGTGCTACCCCCCCAACCCCACCACCAACACACACACACACACACACACACACACACACACACACAC